TCTCTCTCTCTCTCTCTCTCTCTCTCTCTCTCTCTCTCTCTCTCTCTTATTTCCTTTGTTTCCTGTCTTTCTACTTTTCTCTCCCTCTGTCTCTCATCCTCGCTCTCTCACGTTTATTCTCTTCCTCACCACCTATCTTGTCGCATTAATAACCCACGCTAATGCAGAGTGGAATATGGAGATATAAATAAGATGCTGAATGTATATTTGATCGTCTTCCGGACCTTTGACCACACGTAGAAAGCAGCTGTAGCAGCTGATATCCGCCCGTGTTTGGAGCTGCTGCCGTGTCTGAGAAATAATGGAAGGTAGTCGGGACAAAAGAAACACAAAAGTACACTTTAGAGTGTCTTTGCTCCACTCCGCGTCCCTTTCATCCCTTTGCTTGTGTGAAAAGCTTCTGAAGCGCTGGTTTTTTTCTTCAGCTCTTTCCTCGATGTGTAAATATGAATATGGAAAGTAGTGTCAGGATGTTTTTTGGGGGGGGGGGGGGTGTTGGAAGAGAAGATCGCTGCTTAATGACTGTGTGTGTGTGTGTTTTGCATATGCCAGGGACATGACAGGTGATCTGTTTTGTGTTGGGGGGGGGAGAATCATGAACATAATGCAGATCCTTCACATCAACACAACACCAGGGGTCATTTTCCCTGATTCAGCAGCTCACAGACTTTTATTTCGTCCTCCCCGTTTTCCGCGGAGCTGCTCTGCTGATTAGGCTCGACAAATACCAAGCGTGGATGTCTGCAGACAAGTTAGCGTGATTAAAGGCCACCTGATGAATGTTGACAAGTTGTTTGGCATTAGTTCCAGTGCACCGAGTCGGTCTGTGGGTGTGAACGAGCCGGGCTTTTGACTCGCACACAAAGGGGAAATTTACAAAAACAAAAATGCGACACGGCACAGTTGTTTTCAAGAGCAATGCGTGACGAGCAGGTGGTGCTGATTGAAACTTGCTGTCACCTCCAGTGATTAGCTTCGTCTGAACTTTAGTGTGTAATAGCACCCTCATCTCCTGCGTAATTGCTACTTGTGTTGATTAAATAACGTATGCAGTAGGTGGTGTTTGTTTATGAACTCGGGAAGTTGAAGTTGTTCAACTTTTGTGTTTGAGGTGTTCGAGGGTCCTTTCTCGCGCGCCAAGGTGAGTGAGGAACTTTGCGGGCCGATCTTTATGTGCTGTAAGGAATTTATAAATTCAAAGTCGGAGCATATCTGTGATTGAGGAATTGCCTCCACGCGGCTCTCAACATGGCGACGGCTGAGCGGGAGGCTAGCAGCTAACAGCATGAACAGTGCAAGCTATGGCAAGAGT